ACCCCCCAGTCCGACTTCCCCAAATCCCCACTCACTGTGTGCCATGGCTCAGCTTGACTCCTTCTGAAGCTTCTCCAACCTGGCAGTCCCGTTTAATCATTAACTGACGCTTGCACGGATATTGCCGGCGGGCCGGCAACTGACAAGATCAGCACTTCACCGGCTTGGCCCGCCTCCCCCCTTATCTGGGAAATGGGCCTGCTCTTACCTCTGGATAAATTAAGCCAGATCCTCTACGATGCCCAGCTGAGTGACCTCATCCAGGCCAATCTCAAAAAGGGGCAAGCAGGATAGGACCTGTCTTGTGCTTGGATGGGAGACCACAAGGAAGACCTAATTTCCCCCGCTTTGGGCAGGGAAGAAAAACATCTGGGAAGAAAGCCATCCTGATCTACCTCTGGATCAAGGAAACTACATAAATGTGTCCGGGAAGTTTGTTTCAAAAGAAAACCTCACCATTTCTGAACATTTTAAAGCTACATTAAAGAGCTTGGCAGGATGTTTCAGGGGTCATACCCCACAAAATCCAGGTTTGGCAAAACAAACTAAATGAGATTCAACTCACCCAAGCCCTTGTCTGAGATATCCCCTTGTTTTTCAGGGTGACGGGCCTCCCTCGCAGGATTGTTGTGAGGACAAATGGGTCATATATAAACTAGGTGACTTGGAGAACAGAGAGAGTTTAAAGATGATTTTTTTAAAAAGGGAAACAGATAAATTCCCCCAGGAGATTTTCTTTTTGCTTGCCAAACTGGAAATGATTATCACTTTTTTTAGATTTTTAGGGTAGTGCAAAGAGTAAGGATAAAATAATAATAACAGCAACAATAACAACAGTAGTGGAGTGGGAATGGACAGAATCTTAACTCGCCAATGACCAAAAGTTGCATTATTTGGAATAGTGCAAAAATTACAGCAATATCTTTAACTATCCTAGCTCCAATAGTCCAAAGTATCGAATCCAGTCAGAACTATCTGCTAAACTCTGTGTAAATACCAATAATAATAATAATAATAATAATAATAATAATAATAATAATAAAAAAATTATTTTTGAAGATTGAATATCATCAAGGCAGAGAACCCAGGAATGGGAAATTTTGAAGGAGAAAACCTGCATGGGGGGAACGATGAAGCCAGTGGAGAGATAAGAGAATTATTTTACAAGAAAGGATTTCGAAACATTCTCTCATAAATTAGCTTCATTTCCCAATTTGCTTGCGAGAAAAGAGAACAATGCAAGCGAAGCCTGTTACAAAATGTTGTAATACGGAATATTCCTTTTCGTACCACTCCCAATACCTGTCATCCTGCATCTCCCACAAGGCAGAAAATGGCAGGAATTTCACCTCCACGGTGTGACCTTTCTTATGTGTTTAAACTGCATCTTTATTTTTACGTTCCGCTTTGGATACTTGAAAGACCCTTTTAGCAATCTTTTCCTTTCGTTTCCTTGAATTGCTCGATCATCACAGAGTTGTCATATGTTTCTAAGTCCACTTCTTAGGTGTGGACTTCAACTCCCAGAATTCCCCAGCCAACATGCTTTAAGAGGTGTGGACTTCAATTCCCAGAATTCCCCAGCCAGCATGCTTTAACTGGTGTGGACTTCAACTCCTAGAATTCCCCAGCCAGCATGCTTTAAGAGGTGTGGACTTCAACTCCCAGAATTCCCCAGCCAGCATGCTGTAAGAGGTGTGGACTTCAACTCCCAGAATTCCCCAGCCAGCATCTTAAAGTTGCCAAGGTTGAGAAACACTGGCTTAAAGGATGGAAATGGTTGCCAAGTACCTGTTTCCCAGAATGCCCCACCTGCTCTCTGGGTATGGGTCAGGCCCCTTCCAAACCAACCTTTGCAATGATCAATCGTGTTTTATTTGGTAATGTTTGGGTGCCCCTATGACAAATAGGGGGGAGTCGGACTGTTTTGCTTTGCGAGAGCCCAGCTTTCCTTTTTGTACACGCGAATATGTAAAAAAGGGAGAAAGTCAAGAACGTCACCGGCCGATCCACCGGTGCCCCTGGGGCACCACGTTGGAGGTCCAGGAATAAGCCTTCTGGGACAGGCTTTTTCCAAAACGAAGGTGATGCCCTTCGAAACGAAGAACCCGTTTGGCACAAAAGAGCCGAAAGCGAGCGTCCGAAGGATGTTCCCCACCCATCCTTTTCTGTGTAATAATGTTCTTATCCGCCTGGAATTAATGTAGCATTTCCCAATTCTCTTGAACAAGACTTTTGGCATCCACGTCTCCTTCCAGGTCTGGAAGAGGTCCAACCCACCCGTTTCTCTTTTTTTTAAAGCAGCAATAAATGGAAATATCTCAGCCTGATAACAGCAGTGTTTCTCAACCTTGGGATCTTTCAGATGTGTGGACTTCAATTCCCAGAATTCTCCAGCCAGCTTTGCTGGCTGGGGAATTCTGGGAGTTGAAGTCCATACATCTGAAAGTTCCCAAGGTTGAGAAACACAGTGATACAGCCACAGCTTTGCAAAAAAAGCATGGGAGAAACCCTTTCAGAAGGCAATGAAAATGTCACTCCGATTAATTGATGAGAATGTTGTTCCCACTTGCATTGTCTTTCACCCCAAAGTAGAATTGCTGGGAAAAACTATTTTTGTAAGCTCCATGCACCAGGTCCAGCACGATGGGGAAATATGCGTTGGGAGTCTGGAGTTACGTTTCCCATCGTTACGCAAAACAGGATTGCCGGATTTACTTGCAAAGGAAGATCACCTTTTCAGACGATATTTCCTCCCCTCCAAAAAAGGATGGAGACTAAACGCGAGTCCATCCTCAACAACGGGAAGGCATTTGCTTTCAGCCAGCCCACCTTGCAGGGTTGTCGTGGTGGTGGGGAAAAACACAAGGAGGAGAGACTGCTACGAGAAAATGCCTTGTGTTCCTCCAGGATATAAATCTATTTAATGAATAAATAAGATTATGCAGGGGGGAAAAAACACCCTCCCTTGCTTCATTACAACATTTTCAGCAAATCTAAGACAATTAAAATAAAAATAAAACACTGGGGAGAGGGGCCAAATTCAGTTGTCCTTTTCAGATGAATAAGTATTTATTTGGGGGATCCTGGGGCTCGGTTTACCCCAGCCTTCTCCAGCTGGACTGGGGATGATGGGTGTTGTGGTCTGGCCCATCTGTTGGGCTAGGAAAAATAAATGAAATAAGCAAACAAACACAGAAATGCATGGCGTTTGCATTTATTAACGATTTTTATTCGAAAATGTTTCAAATGCGTGCTCTTCACAGAAGGTTTCCAGGCTGCATCCAAGATCTATAAAAAGTAACAGAGCCAAATCACGCTGGTAAAACTTGAGTAATAAAAATATTGTTCAATCACAGCATAATATCTTACCCCTCCAAATACTGAGAGGCCAAACAGCAATAACAATATATATATATATATATATATATATATATATTTTAAGTGAAGAGAAGAAAAAAATACAGGAAGTTACTAGCAGGTAACTAGATCTCTTTAAATGTCCTTGTTTGACCTAAGCTTACATAAACACATATATTTATTTCTCTTAAATCCCTCTGTCCAACAGAAACCAACCGATACTCCTATAAATGAGTTAAGGAAACATTTAAGAACTCTCTCAGGTTTCTTCCGGAAAACTCAAAGCAATAAGTCTACCTTTTCACGCTCACAGCCCTGCAAGGTAGGCCAGCTTCAAACAGAGCCTGTCCTGAGCAAAGGATCAGACCACATGTAGGAGCCGCCCCAATTCCATGATTCTAGGATTCCTCAATATATAAATGGCTTTGATTCATTTTTTAATAACATTGATAAATCACTTTATATGCAGCTCTAAGTGGACTTGAAGCACATCTATTTGTTTTCCTCCAAAGTTTGTCCCCGAAATCCTCTTGCCAGTAAATCCGGCACCATTGCACAAGGTTTGTAACACACCAGGGGCGGTTGTGCAACGGGAAACCATTTCCCCCTCCCGCCCCCACCTGAGCTCCAGCTGCTAAAAAAAATTGGGTTCCTTTTTTCTCAGCAACACCCGTCGAAATTTAACCCCTTCCTGCTGGTTGAGATCCAGCACCTTTATTTCTGGCTTTAACAGGCATTTCTCTTCTGTCTGCAGCTGTCAGTTACGTCCCTGCAATTCAGAAAGGGGTTGGGAAATGCAGTTCTTGACTCCGTGGCCCAGTTTCCCCTGCCCCCGCCATCTTGAGCAATGGGGGGGGCAGGCACAGGGCTTCCTACTAAGCCCCCCGGCCTGTTTTCCCTCCATCATGCACAGCCGCTGACCCAGCGAAGCAGAAGGCGCGAACATCTCCCCGCTCATGAATCCTTGCTCCGCGCCGCACAGCATCCTCCCTCCGTGGAGAAGGTTTGGAAGGTGCAGTTGGAAAACCGGCTTTTCCCATCAGAGGCATGAGGCTGGGGTGGGTGGGGAAGTTTCTGCTTCTTCCCAACTGGAATGGGGGGCGGTGGGGCAGCCGGTGGGGACAGGGGGCTGACAGCCTCGGTGGAGACTTGCACCTTGACGTTACTCTTGAAATACTGGCGCCGGACGCTCACGTCTTCAAGGGACGGGTCATCCAGAAAGGGTGTGGGAAGGCCACAGGCTCCGGCGGGCTGTCCCCCATCCATCTGGGACCTGTTTGGACCTTGGGGGACTCCTGGAGGAGGGGACGGAGAAGCAGATCCCCATGAAGTCAGCCTGGTGGATCCCTTGGCGTTGAGGGAGGAATTCCAAAATTCTGCAGGCGAATGAGAAGGGATAAGGGTTTTCAACCTGGTGAGGATCCTAATTCCGGGTTTCTGAACCCAGAAACCAAGAGGGATGAGTGTTGCTCGCTGACAGCCAGCAGTTCCCAAGCCGAAAAAGAGAGCAATTTATACCAGGGTCCCTCCTCCTTCCAGCCAGCGCTGCATGCTAAAGATCTCGCCTCCCCACCAGATCCCCGATCCTTTTCAATCAGAGATCCCCAAACTGACTCCAAACCTTCTCTGTGCCAAGCACAACCTTTCTGGCCGTGCCGTATCATCATAGCAGACCGTTAGAGCTAATCTGGGTCTTCCAGCTGCCCACTCAACTAGCATTTTGAGCTGAACTTAACATCAGTCAAGGAACTAAGTTAAAATTACTCCAAACTGTGATCAATCCAGGAGAAATGGGAATTGTGTCTACTTTTGGCCTGATCAATATGGTAGTTGGGACAGAGCAATTGAATCTCCATTTGCTTTTTATGTGTGTTGCACACGTGACGCCCCTAAAAAATGGGCAGCCCTGTTGCGGCCCCCATCTTGACTTTTTTGCACACCCTGCAGCCCCCTCTGCTCAAAACACATCAATGACTGCCAATTATTTCTCTTTCTCTTTGCTTTCCAAAATGTCAAGTGTACCAAGAGCCAGCAAAGCAGAAAAGTAAAGCATATTCCTTTTTTAGGAAGAAAAGGAAGGGTGGGAGGAGGGAGAAAGGGGAAAGAAAGGGGAGGGATTAATTAAAAAAAATATAATTTGGCTTGTGGCAAAGTTTATAAGAACCCCCAAAAACAAGGATGCACTGCTTTATTGTGTGCCCACTGTGTACCCACTGGCCAGAAAAAGGACGAAAGGAACATGGCAGCCATTTTGCACCCTCTCCATGCAGACATTTGCATGCATGTTCTCAAACTTCATTGTGTCCATACTTCTTGGATGGGTGAAGCATCGAAGGTGGGATGCAGTGGAAGTGCTTGACCTGAGCTACTCACCCAGCCCCAAGTGAGCTATGGCTTCCAGCTCCTGGCAGGATGAGGCCTCCCAGATAGGCTGGGGAAGACGTAACACAAAAGGGAGGATGTCCCTTAAGAGAGGAACAGAAAGAGAACCTGTTGGCTGATTCCTGTCAGTATAAACAAGTGACTGTCTCATGTAGCAAAATTTATGTAAAGGAAGACATACAGGTAGTCGACTTATGACCATTTGTTTAGCGACCATTCAAAGTTATGACAGCACTGAAAAAAGTGACGACCGGTCCCCGTACTTACAACCGCCGCAGCGTCTGCACAGTCATGTGATCAAAATTTGGGCATTTGGCATGTATTTATGATGGTTGTAGTGTCCCGGGGTCACATGATCACCATTTGTGGCCTTCCCGGGCGGCTTCCAACAAGCAAAATCAATGGGGGAAGCTGGATTCACCTAACAACCATGTGATTCGCTTAGCTACTGAGGCAAAAAAGGTCGTAAAATCGGGCGCGGTCACATGATACCTTGCTTAACAACCACAACTCTTAACAATGAATTTTCTGGTCCCTATTGTGGTCATATGTCAAGGACTACTTGTATATCTTATGTAAAGAAAAACATGTATAGGAAAGATAAAATGCCCATTGTTTTAGCTCTAGATAAAAAGACATCTGTTCAACTATAAATAAGGAGGCATCTGCCGTAACTCTAAAATAAGGAAACATCTGTTTTAGCAGAATATGAAAGGAATGAAGGATTGCACAGGAAGTAGATGCTCATGCTGATAGAGCAGGAACTATTGTAATATGCTAATGCATTCTGTTCCATTGATAATGATTGGCTAAATCATCCCTTTGTGACCGCCCATCCAAAGCTAATCAACAATTTTGGACTGAATTTCCTTTGACTCCCCACTGATTGTCTGGTGCATTTTATTAAATTCCCGGCTTGGGAACGAACAGAGAAAAAAAGAAGAGATCTGATCCTTCTGACAGAACCTCATCAAGAGTCCAAACGGGAAAGTTTGCATGTTTGGAAACTCATAAGTCTGCTTCTGAAAGCCAGAAACCTGTATTTTAAAAGAATGATTTTCCCAGAATGTAATATTTGAAGGGGATTTATTTAAATTGCACCTGCCTGCTGCCCCACACACAAATCTTGCATCTTGCTGGGTTTGGAAAATATAGCCAACCCTGAGCAACCCAAGTTGCAGACTTTCTCGCCTTCACACGAGGTACTTAACTCGGTTAGCGAACAAACCCACTTTCTGGGTATATTTGAGACCTTCAACCATAGGCCAACCCCTCCCTGGCTTTGCTAGAATCACTTACGGAACTGAGCAGTAGAAGGCAATGAGATGGAGAAGTGTGGGAAAACTCCGATCCGATCCTTCTAGGGTAATGGCTAGGAAAGATAAGAGAAATATTAAGGGGAGAAATACCTATTCGTCTTCTCTCCCAGGGCTGGGACTAATTTCCAGCCTCAAATCTGTTGTAGAAATGTAGAGGATTCTGAAAAGATGCAAAGATTTGTCTGATAGATCTCAAGTATTTCAAATCAGCCCATGGTCTCATGATGACGTTTGATTCTGAAAGGCCAACATTTTGCTATTGAGACTGGAAAGCAAATGAATGAGGGGGATTGGAATTTGCTTTGGGTATTACAGATATTATTATTATTATTATTATTATTATTATTCCTCGACTTACAACCATTCGTTTAGTGACCATTGGAAGTTACGACGGTGCTGAAAAGAGTGACTTACAACCAGTCCTCGCACTTATGACCATCACAGTGTCTGCACAGTCATGTGATCAAAATTTGGGTACTTGGTAACTTAGCAAACTTCATCTACGATGGTTGCAGCATCCTGGGGTCATGTGATTACCATTTGTGGCCTTCCCAGGGGGCTTCTGACAAGCAAAATCAATGGGGAACTGTGCAATTTGCTTAATCACTGCGTGATTCACTTAATGATCATGGTGATTTGCTTAAAAGCCACCTCAAAAATATAAAATCAGGTGGAGTCAGGAGTCTCTCACTTAATACAGGAGTCACTCACTTAACAACTGCATCGCTTAACAACAAATTTTCCAGTCCCTATTGTGGTCCTAAGTCAAGGGCTACCTGTATTATTAAAATGTGTATGCCACTGAACCTTGATGGCTTAACATTAGGATACAATTTAATAAAACATCCACAGCAGGAAATCATGGAAATTACCATCGTGGGTGGTCAGAGCTAACTCTAATGTGCAAAATCAGGGGGAGGAGTGGCTGCTCCTGAGCATGTTTAGAGTACTTTTCTCCCATCAGAAATGGCCCTTCCATTTAAGTATAACTGAATCTTCCCCCCAAGTATACAATGCCTATCACAGAAAGAATAGAGAATCCACTTTTCTGTTTAAATCGTGCGAGCTTTGCAACCCAAGGTCAAGAAGACCTCCTACCTGCCCCAAAGAGGCTGCCCTGATCTTACCTGCCCGTTCCTGGCATAAACAGTAGGTTGTCACAAAAGCAGGTGATGAGTCATCCAAAAGACGGAGACACAGAACTTGGCACCGGCGCGTGTTGGATCTTCGCACCAGAAATGTCTGCGGGAAGCAAGAAACTGGGTCATGCTAGTACCAAAGCAAGAGAAGGGGAATTCTGGGAATTGAAGGCCAGACACCTGAAAGGGCACTTTCAGCTTCCAGAATTCTCAGCAATGGCCGTGCTGGCTGGGGAATTCTGGGAGTTGGAAGGTCACACAGTTGGGAAAGTTTTACTGTACTTAAAAATCCAGAGCCCCAGCCAGGATGCCAGATTTCGATCCTAAAAGAAGCAAGTGTTAATTCTGATTGGAGCTCTTAGCATAGTTCTTGTAACTTCACAGCTTTGTCCTATGTCTTTAAGAATGGCATGGAAGTCAGAAATGCAACCGGTCCAGTTTCCCCTCTAAACTGCATTTCCACTCTGCAGGTGATCAAATTTCAGTCTATCCTGCGGGCCACGAAATGGGCAAGTTACAAGCCCCTACCCCAAAGTCACAATCATGTCCACAACCAGTCTATAAAACAAGTGTGTGGACTGGTTCCAGTCTGATCCATTGATTCTGTTCAAGTTAAAGATTCAATCCAAACTCATGCTTCAAAATCAGTTGGATTCCATTCTCCAAATCCATTTGGGGGGAAAAATCACTCATCATTCTAAGATAGAACATCAGTCAAACCTCTGAATCTGAACTTTGCAGAGTCCTCCTAAAAAGGTTCTCTGCTTAGGCTCAGAGGCACTCTTGCTGGCTACTCCTCCCAGGTCCTACCCCTGGTGCAAACTGAGTCAGTTGGATTCCATTCTCCAGATCCATTCGGAAAAAAAAAAATCACTCATCGCTCCAATATGGAACATCAGCCGAACCCCTGAATCCGATCTTTGCAGAGCCCTCCTAAAAAGGCTCTCTGTTTAGGCTCAGAGACACTCTTGCTGGCCACTCCTCCCAGGTCCTAACCCTGGTGCAAACTAAGCCTCGCCCAACCTTACCCCTGCTGGTTCCCGTTGCAAGATGTGGAGGGCAGCGGCCGAATTAATGCCCAGCTGCAGCCAAACGGGTTGGGTGAGCCGCAGGCGTCCCACGAGGCTGACGTTACGGTGCAAGGTCACGGCTCCTTGCCGTGGGTTGGCGTACGGCTCGGGATAATCGTAGGTCGGCTTGGAGGTCATGCCGGGTCAGGAGATGAAGAACAAGGCTTCTCTAAGATCTCGGAGGAGCAGGAAAAGATCCAAAGCGTGAAGAAATGCCTGGGAAATCAGAAGCACCGTTTTTCACCATGGAGAGGAAAAAAAATAAAATGCTTCCTACTATATGATTAGAAACGATTAGGGTGGCAAAGCCATTTGGGGAGAAGAAAAGCCTCTTTGTCCATGTCCGGGGTTTTCCCACAAAGCCACGCCAGAAGAGGAAAGATGCTATCAGAACCCTCCCCAAAATCAGAGCCGAACTTAGGGGGAGAACACATCAATCAAATCAAGAGAAATAACCCCCAAGGAAGAACCTCTGAAATGTACGAAGAGTAACCCAACGAAAGAAAAAAAAAGTGATTATAAATCTGGGCATGGATCCCCCCCATGTGATGTTGGCAGAGGTGCCCAGATACGATCTAAAGGGGAATTATGTGTGGTTAATCCCAAACTCTCCTTTGTGTTGTGTGAACTGGAGATACACATTGTAATCCCCACAGATTACAAATATCTACTAAGTTCACACATCACACTAAACCTGCATGTGCCTAAAACGATCAACTAGATCAGTGTTTCGCAACCTTGGCCACTTTAAGAGGGGTGGACTTCAACTCCCAGAATTCCCCAGCCAGCATGGGGTTGAAGTTGAAGTTGGAGTTGAAGTCCACCCCTCTTAAAGTGGCCAAGGTTGTGAAACACTGAACTAGATCCTGCTTTCCCACAACGGCGTGCTTCCTGCAACATGCCAAGCCACAAAATAAACCAAAAATTCAACTAAATAAGAAATAAATAATAATAAAATACCCTGCTCCACGTGAGCCTAGTCTAGCGTCCTGCCCAGTCCTAAAGTGCTTTTGGCGCTGAAGGTCCTGGGTTCAAATCCTGCCGTCTCCAGCTTCGAGGCTTTCTTTATCAGAGCCTGGCCCGAACGGGAAGCATCCGGGTAGCTTGCGTGACGGCTTGGAGCTGCCCACGCCGCCAAGCCTTGCCACGAGATGCAAGGAGCCTTAGCCGGGGGGAGAAACTTGCTATCTTCAGTAGAGGCGAATTAGAGGTGGGGGAGAATTAAGCATTGGTTGAGCGGTACCAACCTTGAGCGGTTGCAAAACAGAGCGGGGGCGAGAGGGTGTGAGTCAGCGCCATGGCAGTGGGCCACGTGGAAGCACAATCTGGAAAAGGAGAGAGAGGGCAAAAGAGGAAGAAATGCAATTTGTCCTGTGTGCCCCAAAGGCAGAAATCAATTTAGGGAATTCTTGGGGAGATTGACGGTAATGCTTTCATCGACACATTCCTCGAGCCTCAAACGGCATCAGAAAGATGAATGATTGCATCTGCTTTTCCCTCTTCCAAAAGTCGCACTTTCGATCGTGAACGCTGTGCGGAGGCTCCTGGCATCTTCATGGAAGTGAGAAATATTTGGGTTCCCAGCGTTCCCCACCCCCGCGAACAGCAAATATGAAATAGTTTAAAATGTACACACCTGCGCGCGTGCACAGCCGAACACACACATATTCACACAAGTCTAGGCAGGAATTTTAAGTAAAATAAAACTCGGGTAAATATAGACCCAAGTGCCATCTCTGTAGATGAGTCCGTAAGAGTGACAAGCTGTAGAGCTGTGTTGCGAGGCAGAATTGTTGAGTTCCCACACCTTACTTAAGGTAAGCTTAAATGGACTTGGGTCTTTTGAGGTTCAAATCCAAGCAAATCCTCCGGTGAAGCCATAATATTATTACATTTTTGTTCCCTGGATGGGAGACCACCAGGAGATCCACAGGTGGTGAAGAGAAAAAACATCCTGGAAAATGGCTCTGGCAAACTGTTTCCAGAGCATTGCCAAGGGAACCACAGTTCCAAGCTGGGCTCAAAGGAGATTTTTACCTCCAACCTGGGTTTAGTGGGTTGTGAGCACCCACCCTTAGACTGGACTAGGCCTGGGCAGAAATGGGTTCCTAGCCCCCCAAAGTTCATGGCAGTTGCCATCCTGGCCTGGACTACCTTGCAGGGCTGCAGGGAGGATAAAATGCCAGGTGGTGCAAGGAAACCCTGGGACAAAAAGTTAATCCGATTTGCCCCTCCCCTCCCCACTCCTAATTCCACCCAGATGTGCTAAAGTGAGGATAGGGATGCTGAAAAGGATTTTAGGGAGGAGAACGTGCCTCCCCCCCGCGCCGGAGGGAATTGGCTTAGCTGGCTCTGGAGACGCGGGGGCGGGATATTGCAACCCCTAAGGGGGAGGAATCCACGTGCAAACACACGTGGGAAAACGTGCTTCTATTCTAGCGTCGCCCAGTAGGAAGCCAGAAACGAAAGATCGATGGGAGGCGGCGGGAGGGGGGGGCAGAATCTGCAGCCGAAATAAAAATGCCCCCCTGCTAAACATGACTTTCCCCCTCCCCATCGGTGTTGACCTCGGTTCCCCCCAGCAGGAAGCACCCAACTTCTCGGCATGGGGGGAGCCCACGCGTCCGAGCAGGGGGGCATCAGCGCAGCGTTGGGGCCAGCCC